GTCTGTCTAATAAAAATGAGAAAGCAATGTTAGAACTATTTATGCATGGAATTGTATGGGCTATCTAATTATTACCATTGTATATTTACACACATATATATATATATATATATATATATATATATATGCTAATACTTTACGTTATTTTTCCAACCTTTTTGGCGCCCTCTAGGGTCGACGCACGGGGAGCCCCCCCCCCCCCCCCCCCCCAGAACTTATTCTACTTTCTACTTTCAATTTTTCAAAATCCTATAACTTGAGTACTGTTTCGGAAAGATTAATGAAATTTCACATATAAGTAAAATATCTAATTCATTGTCTTCTGTCAAATTTTGAGTAATTTCCGTTAACCGGAAAAGTAATTTACGCTATTTCAGATTTCTCAATAAACACATGTGATTTTTTAAAGTACTAATAATATTCCGCACTATTATACACATTTTATTTGGCGTTCACATGGTGCGCAATTCTTTTTTTCTACGCGATTATATTTTATTTAAATAATAAAAACAATAATGTTTACATCTCGAGTTGCCATCCCCCGCAGTGTTATATAAGAATATTTGAGAAAATTTAGGGGAGATCACTCCCGGTTTTTTTTTATACACAAATGAACAAAGTGTCCAAAAGTGCAACAAATCCATTGTGACGAAAGTTCAGGAATTGGCTGATTTTTTTAAAAATTAGCATACCCTCTTAACAAGATCCAAAATTACACAAATAAATAGGTCGTCTAATCTTTTGTCTCTATTATAAATGACGTCATTTTCCCCACGTTTTCTTTAACTTGCTTTCTCTGTTTGTTTTTCCAATCAAATCTTGCGATCGAAATTTCTGGCACTTCCCAGTTAGCTAGCGCGCTGAAATTTTCAGGGAAGCTTTCTTTTGGATGACCATAGAATATTCAATTGTTATTATTACTAAATTGATCAATGGAAACATTTTATTGGGCATTTTAGACCGCTATATAAATGAAGTAAAAACGTGGGGAAAAAGGGACATCACCCATTAACTGTAATTTGATGAAAACAAGGTTCGGTATTCTCCCTCTTTGCTTACTGAGTAGTGTTCACGCAGTGTTTGTGTACAAACAACCGTAACAACTGTTGGCCAGTATGGGGGAGACGATATGGTCGAGTGGTTGGGCACACGATTGCTATCCCACTCGACCCGGGTTCAAATCTATGTGTTCTAGTCAGTAACGTATTCACACAACGTGTTTTTTACGAGTTGTCTTTTTACGAGTTGTCTTCGTTTACCCAAAAAAAAGTGAAAAGATAAAATCGATAGCAAGATTTTAATGCAAACAAACAGACAAAGACTAAAAAGTAGAAAATAATAATCATTAAAAAAGTTTTAAAAAACCCACGTTTTCTGATTGAACTAAAAAGTAGAAAATAAATGCTATACATCACAATAATGCAAGCGATCACTCTACTATAAGCGATCAAAAACGTGGGGCGCCGTGATTTTCTTACAGTTTCTAATACTGTTGACTCTCTACAAGCTCCCTAATAAAAGTCAATAGTATTATCTAATCAATAGTAATATAAATTTTACTTCGGCGCCCCACGTTTTTGATCGCTTATAGTAGAGTGATCGCTTGCATTATTGTGATGTATAGCATTTATTTTCTACTTTTTAGTTCAATCAGAAAACGTGGGTTTTTAAAAACTTTTTTAATGATTATTATTTGTATTACCTTTTCTTTGTGTACTTTAAAGTTTCGTTTCGTTTGAATTTGTTTGACTAGGCTTAACAAGTCTATTTTATCATTCTAAATTTCAAGAAAAATCTTTTTACAAATGTGGCAAGCGATGTAATTATAGTTAGATTTTAAAAACTTAAAGCACTTTTGGAACCATCGATTACATTCATTTTTATATATTGTATTGAACATAAGCCGTTAAAATAGCCGTTTGGCTTTGTCTCTAAACCGTACCAAAATCCCCACCTCAACCTCAAATATAACCGGAAACGATTGTGTAATTAATACAGGATTTTTATGCTTAATGAATATTTTAACCAAATTCGGAAATTTTATCTGATGTATGTAGAAATTTAGGCCGAAACGGAAACTTATTAAGAAACAAAATTTCATTCAAAACGAAAATTTATCCTGAATAGGTACTTCTACCGCATCCGTGAATTTAGCCGAATTCGGAAATTTAGAACCTTGACAGGTATGAAATTTAACCGGCGCGAAACTTTATTCAGAACCGGCATTTAAATTTAATCAGAAGCCTTAATAGGTATGAAATTTATCTGAAAACGAAACTGTATTAGGAACCAGCATTTTAACCTGATCAGAAAATTTAACTTAAAATAAAACATATACATCATAAATATTTTTCCCAGTATACCTACATACACTTCTAAAATCAAATATGTTAATCGTTTAACGTATTTATCTCTATTTTCAATAACGCCATTATTATTGTTTAACCTTTTGGGCATTCGAAACTTAATTTTAATTCTATTCAACATTTAATTACGTCATTTTTGTCTATAGACGCTAACTTTTGACACATCCACAATACTTTATCTGGTAACCATGATCTACACGTAGCTAATACACATTTACACAAAAATATATTCATAGATTATGCCTCTAAACTTTGTACCTAAGCTAAACCTAGTCAAAGATGGCATATCTATATCACAAAGACTAAAGCTATACCAAACATCTATAATCTACATCCATTTCCTACAAACAAAGAAATATATATTTATAACATAATTAAGGCATGAAATTTCTAGTTTAAAAACTGATAATTGGTCAAGATCTAGTAGAGCTAGAATCTATATCTACAATTTACGGCTTGCTATGTGTGGTTAAGTCAAGTTTATCCGTAGCCCTAGATAAATTCCTTGTATTCTCGAATTAGATGATTTGTGAAGTTAAAAGGCAATAATGTTGCCTATATAAAATATTTAAGGAATAAAATAGTTTAATGAAAAAACTCAATTATTAATTGTGTTTTTTTTTTAATTTGTTTATTGTTACTAATTAATTTTTACTTATTTTCTATCGGTAGATCCAGAATATCTATATCTAGATAAATTTATTGTAGGCTCAAATTAGAAGAACTGCGCAACATATTCTATTGAAAATTGTTAATAGTGTTGGAACGTAATATAAATAGCAAACAAACGTATCGTTAAGCAATAGCCGACAGAAAATCTAGCTTTAAATGGGTTAAACTTTTGAATGAGCAACATGGTCTTTTGTGGAAGCCCCCATAATTGTTGTGAAAAAAGTAAGTGCATTAATTGACATAACTATCAAGTAATTGTTCTTAACGTTTTTTTATTATATGAAAATATCAATAAATTATTTAAAGTCTTTAAAAAGATTTGTGTTTACCAGTTTGGTAAAAAAGAACATTATTCCCTACATCAATACGTATTTTGCATTTCTACACCTTGTGCAGATGCTCTCATGTTACCAAACTGACAAATAAAAAATAAATATACAAACTTGTAAACCAACTCTAGTTTTAGTAGAATATATATATATATATATATATATATATATATATATATATATATATATATATATATATATATATGGGGTCCCCCTGACTGATCATATACCTCCATTTGTAACTCTTCTATTTTCGTTATACTTTTATGTTTTGATTCTATTGATCACACCATACTTCTTAAAAAACTAATTCCATACAAATTCCACGACTTTACAGTTAGGTTACTTCACTCCATTTTATCTAACCGATCTCAACGCGTGTTTCACCTTAATACCATCTCTTCACAGAAATATGTTAATATAGGGGTTCCACAGGGCTCAATCTTAGCTCCTTTACTTTTTTCTTTATACATTAATGATCTTCCATTACACATTGACGCTGGTCAGTGCGAGATGTTCGCTGATGATACTTCTTTACATGTCTTTGCAGACAGTGCTGCGTCACTCAGTTACAAACTTCAAACGTGTGCCAATCAGCTTGCTACTTGGACTAAATTTAACAAAATGATACTTCACCCCGATAAAACCAAGTCAATGTTTATTACAACTCATCAGAAACGCCTTCGTCTTCCATCCACCGCATTAAACATTACTATAGACAATACAAACATTGAACAGGTTGATCGTTACAAATGCCTAGGATTGTTTATAGATCACAACCTGACTTGGTCCGATCATATTCATTTTCTAAGAATGTCCTTATTAAAGACAACCTTTCAATTAGCTAGGATAAAGAACTTTCTGGACTATAGGAGCAGGCTTGTCTTTTATGAAGCTTTTATTCAGTCTAGGTTGGATTATGCTTCTGTAGTGTGGAGCGGCAGCTTTATAACTAAGCAGCGTCCTCTTCTATCTTTACAAAAAAGGGCTATAAAACTGGTTACTGGCTTGTCTAGTAGTCTGGATTCTTTTCTTACAACTAAAATACTTCCATTAAATAAAAAGATAATATATACTAAATCAATTTTCTTATATAAAATATTCCACGAAACAGCCCCCTCTTACTTATTAGATCTATTTTCTTTTAACATAAAATTAAATCGTCGTCTTAATTTACCATTCCCATATTCAACTTTTTTCCAAAAACATAGCTTCGCCTACTCTGGTTCTAATTTGTGGAACAATCTTCCTAATAAAATAAAGCTATCTAGATCTGAAAATATATTCAAATCTAAACTAAAACTAAAATTATTTAATGACCTAACTGACTCATTGTAACATTTCTCATTATCTATTATATTCTCTCTTTTTTTTTCTCATTATGTATGATAACTATGTAACATTGTTTCTTTATTCTACATTTTTAGTGCTATGTTACTGCTATGTGTTATTGATTTGTTTTATTTGTTTAAACGGCCAATGTGAAAAAAGGCCTTTGTGCCTACAATTGTAACCGTTTTTTTTTGAATAAATTTAAATTTGAATTTGTTTTGTTATTCTTCATTTAATTCCTCATCTACTCATGACTGGTCGATCGACATTTATATATCTATATTTTTTTTTATTTCTCTAGGGAATTTCCTCCCAATTATGTAGGCGATCACACAAACGCAGGTAACTGTATTAAGAACATGTTAATATTAATACCTTTATCTATCTCTCATTTTTACGGTGTTTTTATTATATGATTCATAAAGTTAAAGTAAAGTATAATTCTCCTTTCAAACCTGGGGCAAGTGAAGTAGAGTTCACTTGTTTGTGTGACCTCGGCATATGAGGGGAAAGTGTGGTCAGCACTATGCCCAGCTGCCTTTACTTTACCTAACGTGAGTTAGGTACCCATCAGAGTTGGGCGGACTCAGGGATGATTCGAACTCGAGACTTACGGGTTAGCAGTCCAGCTCTCTACCGCTGGACCACTCCGCCATTCATATCATTACACACATGATAATAATATTAGTACTAGCCTTTACAATAGGACACTGCCTTTGCACTATAATTTGCTATGAGAAAACTTAAATGTTTAATAAAGCACATAGGCTACTAGTATTTCACACAAACATATATAAGCAGAGTGGTGTCTGTCCGGCTGTTCATCAACCCAATTGAATTGGATAGTTGCAGGTCAAGTAGCTGAGACATTTTTCCAGTGAAATCGAGCTCTATATTCTCAATCCGAATTGGAAAATTATAGTCATGATACTAATCGCGTTTGTCGACTGCTAACCTGAAAATCTCGAGTATGAAAATCTAACTTACGTTTGGAAAAGTATAAGCGGTTTAATATGCCAAGGTGACAGAAATAGGCGTACTCTTCTTCACTTACACCTTAGACCGCCATGTTTAAAAGGGAACTTAAATTAAGTAATAGTGATAGTTTAAAGTTGTTGCTAAAAAATAAAACCAAGACTGACCGCGGCCTTATAAAAACAATATAATTTTTTAAGTGCTCGGTTTGGATTGACCATTTGCACATACAACACCAATTTGATATTTGGGTAAGAAAATGGCTCTAGTACCTGGAAATATTCCACATATTCAGAAATGTAATATTACGGGGTCGATCTCTATTTTTCTCCCATTTCAGGTGTAGGGAGATGAAGGCACAGATGGCATTATTAATGTCTTTGTATGCCCTCGTCATCTTTCCCACCCTAGTTGATCACACTTACCAGATATGTGAATTTGTTTTTCATCGTAGGTTTTTAGTTTTTATCTTTATTGTGAGCCCCTGGTTGTTATCGATTTTGATGACCAATATTTTCTAATGATTGTAAGTCTTACTTTAAATTGTCGATTTAATTCGATTTGAGCGGGTTTTTTTAAAAGAATATACTAGAGAGCTAGCATCTCCACTCACACTTATTTTCCCTGTGAACAGTTATTAAATTATTCGTTAAAAATAACCAGACATATAAAGTCCTCCCATAGTTTCAGCGTGATAATTATTCATTTTTTTGGTACACTGTACTGACTAATTGTCTTCCAGATAACTTTTCTTCCGCATATTTGAACGCATTTTAAGGCTACAAGGATAATGCACACTAAACGACTGTTTTATAATCGATTATGTTTAATTTTCGTGCATTTTTGACTTGATGGTTGTATTGTAAAGAGAATACTGTAGCTGCTGTTGGATTATCTTTACTCTACAGACACCATCCCACTGTGTATGCTTTTTCTAAAGCCATCGTGAAAGCCGAGTCTACTTTCTCCTACAATCAAATACGCTTTTGAAAAAAAAGTCAAAATCCCTTTTAGTGCCTTTACTTTTTTGTTTTAAAAAAAATTTGAATTCTCTCCCTTGGGTGATTTACAAAAGGCTCTAGGATAAGTAGTTGAGACCATCCCAACTTCGGCACAGATGCATAGAAGCACAAGTCGCTTTGTTGTCCCTTTAAAGTCCCTTTCTCAGCCCATTCCCCCCCCCCCCCCCACACTCGAATTCTCATAAGTAGCGAATAGATAAATAAATAGTTTGCGAAATTCCTAGTCGTACATTCTCCACTTTTCAGCGGATATTACTTTAATAGCATAGTATTAATTAGTTTGATGAATCTTATTCATAAAACGAGGAATGTAAGACTATATTTGTATAATTAGTAAATAAATTAATTGAACATTTATAATCAATCAATATTGTTAGGGGTGACTGTCTGGCTTTTTGTGCGTCGTAAAAATAATAAAACAATCACGTCTTTTATGGATGTCATTTAAATCAGAAGGTTATCATCCACGTGAGCTGGGCCCATACGGCTGTACATGTGAACAAGGTGTGTCTGTCTTTTAGACATTACTACACCCTTCATGCTATCGCAATGAAAATTTCTGAAGTTTTTAGTACTCTCCCGCAATGGTTTCTGTCATAGGTCTAATATTTTTTTAATTTTTGGCGTGATGGCTTCACACGGAAATGTGATGGCCGTCGTTTTGGGGTGTTTCTTTCACCGTCTTAAACCGAGGCGGGTCTCTGGTAGCGTGGACAAAGTAGCGCCCCAACAACTAAGCTGTGGCGTGTCGGTGGTAGTGTGGGGGGACGGCATGGCATAGCTATATAGAGCTCGTCTGCTAAACTGTTAGTCTAGAGTTCGAAACCGGGTTCAAATACGTGGTACGTCCCCGAGTCCGACCAGCTCTCATGGGTACCTAACTTACGTTACGTGAAAAAAAGGCGGCTGGATATAGTACTGTCCACAATATCCCTTCATATGCCGAGGTCAATAAATCAGATTGTGAAAAGAGAATTGTGAGAATTGTGAAAATCAGATTGTGAGGTTTATGAAAACCTCATTTAAAAAGCTGCGCCAGTTCTGCCATGTAGGACAAAATTTTGAGAGTCCGTACTTCTAACTTGTTATACGGTACCAATTTTTAATAAACTAAATAAAATATTGCCAGTTCTTTGGTTAGCTACATGTAATAACAGAACAACGAAGTAAAAAGACAAAATTAATATTAAGATACTCAAGGCAAATATACGTGAAAAAGATCACATTTTCTTCTTGAAAGGTAAATATATTTAATAAAATAAAAGCTGTATGGTCTGCCATGGTCTCCTTCCTACACCTGTTCTCATATCGGCAGTTCATAGTAGACCTGTCATGAATATGGAAACAGCGTCTGGGTAGTTGAATATAATCAGCACGTGTGCTCCCTAGTTATGTGCATCTAACAAGAAGTCAATTCCAGGATGGAATAGGAAGTTGTAACTTAGCTCGACTGTCTTGGCCACTTCGGTGTTAGTACTTTTTTGTATTTTCTAAAACATTAAGCCTCACTATAGCGTCTCCGTGATAAGGACATTGTCACCAGGTAGAGTTGATTCTTAAAAGAAAGCCCGACACGCAGATTTCAAAACGCTGACTGCGACACATGTCACATCATGATTTGCTGTTAAATACGATTCTGGCTGATGAAGATCTATTGTTCCCAAAAAATGCACTCTCCGCTTAAACACCGTGGTTACAATCAGCCCCAATTTTTTTGCAGATCGTGTAAGTAACGTGAATGATTTCATCAAGAAATACACAATCAAGGAAACAGAGGAAACCTGACGATGCATTAGGGACTGGGTTTATGAATCATCATTCGCGTTATTTTTACAAAAGTATCAAAAAGAAAGAAAGCTAAATCAAATTCAAAGTACTAAGCGTGAAAAAAGCAATTTATAATAAGTGAGGTACTCTTATTCATTATAAAAGATAAACTTTCCCAGCGCTGCCTCTTTGCTTTAAGAGTTGCATGAAATAACGATGAGACAGTGTGCAACTACTGTTGGAGTAACTCTATAAACAGATGCTGTAGTGCACAGACCACGAGCATTTAAGAACAATGTATGAAAAAAAATATGCGTGTGACCATCAAACAAGCGGAGATACGCTCTACTTAAGACCAAAGATGGGACAGTGATCAAAGACTACCGATCCAATGCCAGGATAAAGAAAGGAACACTCATCCAAGACCTTAAAAAGGCTAAAGTGGTCATGATCTATAAAACAAAAGGTGACCGTTCTTACTGTATAAGCTACTGAGACATGCCACTGCTAAATATTGCTGATAAGGCCTAAGCACAAGTACATAGTTAGAGCTGGAAGATCCACTATTAACATCATATTGTCCCTAAATTTGTTACAGGAAATGTACAAAGAGCAAAGGCAGCCACTGCTTATCGCATTTATTGATCTAAAGAAACAAAGCGCCTATACTTTATGGATCATTTCTTTTCATTCTAATGAGTATAGCGATGGAGTCCATGGAAGAAGGAATTCGCGTTCATTGTAGGTTTGATTGGCTTATATTCAAATTTGTCCGTTTTAATGCTAAACAAATGAAAACGTATCCTTATTCGTGAGCTACTTTTCATTGAAAAAAAAATGAGTTTACTTCACATATGCTGGCAGGGTTGTAACGTGTTATAAAGTGTTGTAAATAATATGGCAAACTCATGATCTTCTCTATGCCAGCAAGGTCTTACTTGATACAGAGATATCAAGGAGAGGGGCAAGGCAACATCATCCTACATAATATATCATACTAAAGGCCTTCAGATCTAAACTTGCCCTTTTTGGAACAGTAAACTGGCCAACAACATGACGCAAATTCAGCAGTGTACGGTCTTCATGGCTGTAGCAACAGCTGAGATCCCCTCGTCATTTGCATGCAAGATCATAAAACACCTCCATCTACTTTTTCAGCAACGGTTCTCTGGTTTTGATTCAAAGGCAGAAAAAGTAGACTGTTTCAGGCCATTTGCCCAGATGAACTGCAGCTGTGTGTGTGTGTGGGGGGGGGGGGGGCTCATTGAGTTGCAATCACATAACCTTCTTAGGGGCAAGGTTTAAAAATGATTGGTGGTTTTACACGTTTTGCCTAAGAAAGACTTTCCTAATGTCAAAACTTTTGATTTATGTACCTTTCAAATTTTAGAACTACCTACACTTGTCCAATGATAATCTCAGGTCAAAAATTGATGATTGCGACATCAAATCTAAAGTAAGAAATGTCTGTTATTCTGGCATCCAGGAAACAATGTCACCATTCACACTAATACAGATGTTCATAAGTAGTGTTCAATATGTAATTAAATAATAAATTAATTTTTAAAAAATAATTAAAAACAACATCCTGATTTTAATTTTTTTTTAGATCTAGAGTTTTTTGTCGGCCCCCGAACAGCTATTTGATAGTTAATGCGGCCATCACGCTGAAAAACTTTGAGACCGTAGTAGATGAAAGCCTCTTACGTAACCCACCTATTTCGCAACTGCTTTTGTTTTTTTTTTGGGGGGGGGGTGGTTGTTTATTTTTGGCTTTAGTAGGATGTGCCGAGTTCATATCCCTGTTTTCAACCCTTCAGACTATTCAACCAGATGTACGATGGAATTCGGCAGAGTTAAATCTCCAATCTGAGCTTTATCACCTACATCATATCATAACCATCGGTATATATGAACCAAAAACAATATAGGCCTAGTGACAAAAGCTTAACACGTGATAACAGATATTTATTGACTACGTCTGCAACCTAAAACTTAGATTTAAATATAAAGTATACCTTTTTTTACTTATACTAAAGTTGAACAGAAATATATAATATCACAGCAACATACGCACTCTAAATAAAACTATACCACTAATTAATATTTAGTCCGAAAAAATAGTAGCTTAGTTCAATTAAACCTTTTTTACAGAATTTTAATTAAAAATTTCATGATAATGAAGCAATTCAATTTCTATCACTTGAAATAATACCTGATACTATACAGATACCAGAAACAAACGATTTCCCTATTGCATTTAACAAGACACCCTATTTTAGTCCCTATTAGTAGTTAATTTTTGTGGCGCAATTTGTGTTACTCTTTTTCACTCGGTCTTCCTTCATACTTAGCGCCTCTCTTAGGGTGAAACTTGTCGAGTATCTTATGTCTAATGATAACTCATAATAGATTTTAAAATCGTGTGGAATTAAATATCGTACATGTATTAAGATCGTCAATGTTTAGGTAAAACAAAAGATACAGTTAATTAATATGTATTCGCTATTGTTCAAGTCAACAGAGCAGGTGAAGTAAACTTATTATTATACAGGGATAGTATGTGTAGTGATTCGTGTCAAGTATCCATTAGCGCTAGCTGGACTCACTGACGTCATCTTAGCTTGAGATTTTCTTTTTAGACGTCGTGCACTATATTTTGTCCAAGAAGTCGTATTTAAGTATGAATTAACTTAAAGTATTAGCATACATTAAGTAATTAATATATTTACTGATTTTGTTTCTTTGTTTTTCACCAGGCACTATCGAGATACGAGTTGGTATTTTCTGGGACATTGAAAATATTCAACTACCATTGGATAAACCTTTCGACTCATTTTATAGCAATATAGAACATTACATTAAAACAACACAGAAAAACGTGACATTCGAATGGTATAAAGTAGCAGTATGTGCTTCAAATTTTGAGAGGAAGAACGTCCACTTTGCTTTTTTAAAAAATCAAGGAGTTTGTATCTAATGTTTTTTATTTTTCCGTATATATATTTATATATACATACTGTCTTATCCATAATTCAATTCATATACTATGCACAAATATTCATCCTAATAAACTAGCAACTAAGATACAACACACACACTAGTACACTTACATCTCATTTAAAAATCATATAAATTATTCATTCCTTTGGGATACATTGACCGAAAACCATAACTTAAATATTGGATAGCAAGAAATAGGGTCTCAAAATATTAAACTAACGTTCAAAAATACTATAATAAACAATATTATATATTCGAAATTTTGTAATAGCAACTACATAGTACATAACATTAAGCTCAGTACTATATTTAAAGCACAAATAGCTTGGGTATTTTACAGCAAGTGTTAAATTTTTTAAAAATAAGCTGGGAGTGATCTCCCCTAAACTTTCTCAAATGTTCTTATATAGCACATGTCTTATAGAGACATGATTTTTAATCCATTTTTTTATTACTTAAACTTTCAAAAATAGAATAGAATCTCGTATAAAAATAATTGCTCACCAAGTAAACGTGAAACGGATATATTTATAATACTACGGAATACTAGTACTTTATAAATTGATATGCGTTTTTTTAGAAATCGGAAATAGCGTTAATTACTATTTTTGGTCAACGGAAATTACTCAAAATTTGATAGCAGGATGAGAATTTGATTTTTTACATGAATCAGAAATTTCGTTTATCTGCCTGAAACAGTACTCAAGTTATAGGCCTTTGAAAACCAAAAGTAGAATAAGTTCCACTTCCTCTTACTGGAAATCGCTGCAAATCTGATACAGAACTACAACTTTGATATAATACATGCATAAACGTTACTCAAGTTATCGTGTTCACAATTGCAAACACGAACACACATACACACACATACACACAAAACCACATACAGACATTCGGATAGAATTGAAAAGCCCAGTTTTACCGACTCGCTTACGCATAAAACGCTGAAATTTTGATAAATCTGCATTTATTTGTTTGACTGATTAAAATAAGTCCCCCATACTCCGTATACGAGAAGTACTGAGGTGTAGAACAATGAAAACTGTCAAAATTTCATATGATGTTTGTGCACGATTACAATGCACATTCTCAGTTGCATACTTCAAGATAGGAGTATATTTATATTCTGAAATATTGTAAACGTTGTATATGTATTTCGAGAGGTATAAAACAAATAAAATGACAAACTTGCATTAAGTGCCACAATAATTATAACGGTAATCGATTTCATTTATCATAGGCGCATTTATTTTATTAATCCTTCGCATTCATGTTTCACATTTTAAAAAAAGCGGATGTGATCTTTCAAACTTTCCTGCATATTCTTATTTAACAATGGGACAATGTGCTTTGAGGATAGATCGGGGTTAACCATTTGTAGATTTTAAAATAGTAATAATAAAATGTTCATGTATTTAAATGTATTATACACTTATTACGATTTTATACATGTTTCTTTGGAGTCTATTAATAGAAATTAACATGTACTAAAAAAAGTCATTAACTATAATTTAGTCTCCACATAAAGGCTGGTGCACGGTCTAATATAATTTTATTAAATATAAATGGAACACTAATAATGCGACGTATAAAACTTTCACAAAAGAATAATTTTGACGTACTTAAAAATATATAGTAAAAATACACGATAAAAAAGCATGCCAACCGTATTGTCTAAGAAGTAATATTTGTATGGTTAACTGACATATGTGCTATAACTAGCAAAAAGATCAGAACATATGTTTGACCATGTGTCTGAAAGTTTTGGTAGAGCATCCTGTATTTCTTCTTAGCTGGATAGCTTGCTCATACGACACTCTTCAAGAAAGGTGTCTTTTGCCTTGTGGAGTACATATGTAGACCTTGAAGGAAACGCCATATTGTTGTGTGACTACATTGTAAGATAGTCTGTATACTGTAATATCATCCTTCACAAATGTTATTTGTTTTTGCAACACCATCGCCAATCTAGTGCGTTTAATTCCGAGTTTCAGCTGGAAACAATGAGAGTTTTTACTATTCGTCATGTCCTCGGATAAGACGACCTAGGAAGTAGATGTGTTTGAAGTATGTCACCACTTCATCGATGTTTTCACTGCTGGCATAGCAATTGCTAATAATTCAAACGTGTGTGTAACATCTTGGACTGTTACATGAGATATGGCGGCAAGACAACGAACAGCGATACGTATATCGTTACTTGTTTCATATTCAACTTTCAGACCAACCTCATGTACCTTACGTATCAGCTTTGAGCAAGGTGGAAGTAGTACCTTGTAACACGGCCGTTACGCAATGTTTCTTGAAATGCCCCCATTAAGGCCATTTCAAAATCTGAAAGAGTGTTTTAGCTGCTGCTAAAGTTTGAGAACTAGGCCTACAACTTTTTCTTTTTTTTTTACAAATCGAGTGAAACTATTGTAGCTTTGCACTTAAAAGTACGATTCAAAGTATATCGCCAAACGTTTGACGTGTTATGACCACAATTCAATATATTCATTTAAACTTTTTTACAAGCTTTTTTACAAGATTCTCCACGTTTCCGAAATAGAATGGTTAAGATTACTTGTATCTATACTCAGTGGCGTAGCGAGGTCGGGTGTCACCCGGTGCGGCACTTAATGGTATCACCCCCCCCCCAGATGCGTAGCGATCCTTCCCGGCGTCAGGGGACAATCCTTCAATTTTCGATTTGCGTCCCCCCCCCCCCCCCCCTCAAACTTTCGATTTGCACCCCACCCCTCAAACTTTCGATTTGCACCCCCCCTCTCCTCCACCCTTGTCGGGAATTTCTCTTAAAAGACATTTTAACAAACGAATTAATCACTTAATTAGGTGGAATTTTTATTTTTCTCTATATATTTTGCTACTTTTTGCCTTGGTGTCACCCCCTTAAATGGTGTCACTCAGTGCGGTCCGCCCTCCCCCATCGCTACGCCACTGTCTATACTCAATGAATTAACATATTAATACATCCTGGCGCAATTTAAAATATAATAACGAAACTTTTATAATTAATCCTTAATATAATTATATGGATTAAGCACTTGTTATCAAACAACCTCCTTTGGACAAACCACCTGTGATGAAAGATTCGCTGTTGACAAAAAACTGTGATCATAGACCCGCTGTGGAGAAAACACATGTGTTCAAATCCATATGGCCAAATCTCCTACTGTCAAACCCCGCTGTGGTCAAACTACATGTATTCAAACCACATATGATCAAAGCATTTGCGGTCAAGGTCCACACACCATAACAATACGAGATTGTACTGATATATGAGATTTCGTTTAACTAACTAAAATAGTACAAAAGTAATTGACTTTTGAGAAACCAAAATAATAGTACAATTTCAGCTTATCGAAAAAAGCTGAACGTTGAAAGAAAACACATTTGATAGGATACTAATGTATAAAAAAATTGTAAAATTAGCAAAAAAACAATTCTTAAGATGTGTTTACGTACAGACAGACGGACAGACAGTCAGACAGACAGATATTCAGACAGAAAGACGGACGGACAAAATAAAGATACAGCCGGACAGACAGACGAGCGAACAGACGGACGGGCGGACACGATTGCAAAACTAAGTCTTTTCCATTCGAGGAGGGTGAAAACGTTGAGTTTTGTAAAAAACAAATTCAATTTTTTGCACACTAAGACTACTTCCACCATATTATGCATACATAAAATATATGCTATCATAAATCCAATATGATGCCAATTCATCGATCGAGTACATGCTACCAACAAATCAATAAAAATCTATCAAGTAAATTAGTCCACTTGTCAGCCGTGCATCCTTAGGTAATCCGTCCAAAGAGTATAAAATCCGTTCATCCATTCACACATCCATACATCTGTATAAACAACTATCGTAATTGCATTTTAGAATAACATAAGTTTAAACAAAAATTCATTTCACTTATACCTTTTAACATTTCTACTCAAATTTAAAAAAAAAGATATATTCATCTGCAGTTTCATTGTTATGAAGTTCCTCCCGGAGAAAATGCAGCAGATGACAAAATATTTATGTTAGCCAAGGAATTCTCATGCGAGGAAAATGTAACAATAAAAATGTTCATTATATCAGGTAAGTATATAAAGTTTATACTAATTTATCTAAACAATTTCATTTGCGTATAAATATACGATTTTGAATATAAGTATTTTTTGGTATGGGCAGTTAAATGTAAAGTTGTACTCGTAAGCGAATTGATATGTTTATGTTTGGTAAAAGCCGAGCTGCTATGGTGTCACAGACACTAGCAAATAAGGTCGACGATGCCTGGGGTAATAAATTTGTGTTACTAGAATCAACAAACGGGACAGCAGATATTGTTTTTAGGTGCGTTCCTTTATGAGATTAATATAAATTATATATTTTCTACCGAGCGAGCTTCACGGCTTCACACTAACCTCTTGTAATTCGAAAGAGCGACCGAGAATATTTGACTAATTGTAACGATGTTATATCCTATTCTAACAATATAATGGATTCAAAACGTGTAAATTAACAAATTATCACAGCTTACGCAAACAAATCGGGTCACTTGTCAGCATAAAGGCTACTAATGTGATCACGTATATTCTCAATTATTTCAAGTAAAAAGCTCCATGTGTAATTAAAAATATGACATTCACGTGTACGTGTACGTGTATGTGTACGTGTGCGTGTGCGTGTGCGTGTGCGTGTGCGTGTAGGTGCAGGTGCAGGTGCAGGTGGAAGTGCATGTGCATGTGTGTGTGCATGTGCATGTGCATGTCTAGGTCTAGGTCTAGGTCTAGGTCTAGGTCTAGGTCTAGGTCTAGGTCTAGGTCTAGGTCTAGGTCTAGGTCTAGGTCTAGGTCTAGGTCTAGGTCTAGGTCTAGGTCTAGGTCTAGGTCTAGGTCTAGGTCTAGGTCTAGGTCTAGGTCTAGGTCTAGGTCTAGGTCTAGGTCTAGGTATAGGTCTATGTCTAGGTCTAGGTCTAGGTCTAGGTCTAGGTCTAGGTCTAGGTCTAGGTCTAGGTCTAGGTCTAGGTCTAGGTCTAGGTCTAGGTCTAGGTCTAGGTCTAGGTCTAGGTCTAGGTCTAGGTCTAGGTCTAGGTCTAGGTCTAGGTCTAGGTCTAGGTCTAGGTCTAGGTCTAGGTCTAGGTCTAGGTCTAGGTCTAGGTCTAGGTCTAGGTCTAGGTCTAGGTCTAGGTCTAGGTCTAGGTCTAGGTCTAGGTCTAGGTCTAGGTCTAGGTCTAGGTCTAGGTCTAGGTCTAGGTCTAGGTCTAGGTCTAGGTCTAGGTCTAGGTCTAGGTCTAGGTCTAGGTCTAGGTCTAGGTCTAGGTCTAGGTCTAGGTCTAGGTCTAGGTCTAGGTCTAGGTCTAGGTCTAGGTCTAGGTCTAGGTCTAGGTCTAGGTCTAGGTCTAGGTCTAGGTCTAGGTCTAGGTCTAGGTCTAGGTCTAGGTCTAGGTCTAGGTCTAGGTCTAGGTCTAGGTCTAGGTCTAGGTCTAGGTCTAGGTCTAGGTCTAGGTCTAGGTCTAGGTCTAGGTCTAGGTCTAGGTCTAGGTCTAGGTCTAGGTCTAGGTCTAGGTCTAGGTCTAGGTCTAGGTCTAGGTCTAGGTCTAGGTCTAGGTCTAGGTCTAGGTCTAGGTCTAGGTCTAGGTCTAGGTCTAGGTCTAGGTCTAGGTCTAGGTCTAGGTCTAGGTCTAGGTCTAGGTCTAGGTCTAGGTCTAGGTCTAGGTCTAGGTCTAGGTCTAGGTCTAGGTCTAGGTCTAGGTCTAGGTCTAGGTCTAGGTCTAGGTCTAGGTCTAGGTATAGGTCTAGGTCTAGGTCTAGGTCTAGGTCTAGTCTAGGTCTAGGTCTAGGTCTAGGTCTAGGTCTAGGTCTAGGTCTAGGTCTAGGTCTAGGTCTAGGTCTAGGTCTAGGTCTAGGTCTAGGTCTAGGTATGCGTATGCGTATGCGTGTGCATGTGCATGTGCATGTGCATGTGTATGTGTATGTGTATGTGTATGTGTATGTGTATGTGTATGTGTATGTGTATGTGTATGTGTATGTGTATGTGTATGTGTATGTGTATGTGTATGTGTATGTGTATGTGTATGTGTATGTGTATGTGTATGTGTATGTGTATGTGTATGTGTATGTGTATGTGTATGTGTATGTGTATGTGTATGTGTATGTGTATGTGTATGTGTATGTGTATGTGTATGTGTATGTGTATGTGTATGTGTATGTGTATGTGTATGTGTATGTGTATGTGTATGTGTATGTGTATGTGTATGTGTATGTGTATGTGTATGTGTATGTGTATGTGTATGTGTATGGGCATGTGCATTTGCATGTGCATTTGCATTTGCATGTGCATGTGCATGTGCATGTGCATGTGCATGTGCGTGTGCGTATGTGTGTGTGTGTATATTTATGTGTCTGTGTCTGTGTCTGTATTTATGTCTGTGTCTATGTCTATGTCTATGTCTGTGTCTATGTCTATGTCTATGTCTATGTCTATGTCTATGTCTATGTCTATGTCTATGTCTATGTCTATGTCTATGTCTATGTCTATGTCTATGTCTATGTCTATGTCTATGTCTAGGTCTAGGTCTAGGTCTAGGTCTAGGTCTAGGTCTAGGTCTAGGTCTAGGTATAGGTATAGGTATAGGTATAGGTATAGGTATAGGTATAGGTATAGGTATAGGTATAGGTATAGGTATAGGTATAGGTATAGGTATAGGTATAGGTATAGGTATAGGTATAGGTATAGGTATAGGTATAGGTATAGGTATAGGTATAGGTATAGGTATAGGTATAGGTATAGGTATAGGTATAGGTATAGGTATAGGTATAGGTATAGGTATAGGTATAGGTATAGGTATAGGTATAGGTATAGGTATAGGTATAGGTATAGGTATAGGTATAGGTATAGGTATAGGTATAGGTATAGGTATAGGTATAGGTATAGGTATAGGTATAGGTATAGGTATAGGTATAGGTATAGGTATAGGTATAGGTATAGGTATAGGTATAGGTATAGGTATAGGTATAGGTATAGGTATAGGTATAGGTATAGGTATAGGTATAGGTATAGGTATAGGTATAGGTATAGGTATAGGTATAGGTATAGGTATAGGTATAGGTATA